CTTTATTAGTATATAAGTGCTTTGTTAATAAATCTATCGCTCGAAGTGGAGTCGAAAGAGATGAGTTTTCAGTCTGCGCTGGAAGATGTGCAAGCTATCTGCTGTCCTGATTTCAATGGGGAGCTCATTCCACCATTTTGGAGCCAGGATAGCAAACCCATGTGTATTTGCTGATGGGAACTTGGGTCCCCCTCGCAGTGCGGGTGCAGCGAGTCGTTTGGCTGATGCAGAGCGTAGTGCACGCGCTGGGGTGTACGGTTTAACCATGTCCTGGATGTACGAAGGGCCAGATCCATTCGCAGCATGGTACGCAAGTACCAGTGTCTTGAAGTGGATTCTAGCAGTTACTGGAAGCCAGTGAAGGGAGCGGAGGAGCGGAGTGGTGTGGGAGAATTTATGTTACATGTTGATGTAGAAGAGACACGAAGAAGGGGATTATGCATCTAGGTGACCTTTCAATAACTACGGAGATACATAATCAAAAATGATGTAACACTATAGAGGATTAACTTAATCAGACTTTGTGGAGCAAATAGGTTGTTGGAGCCAAAAGAAAAATAAAGTAGAGAAATAAGTAAAAGCAGTAAAAGAGAAAACATTATATTTAAACGGGAATAAAGTGAACAACTGTGCAGACACAGAGGGGAATAATTTAGTAAGAAATTAAACATTTGAAGTCATCCTATTTACATTTGGGGAAACACAATGGCCAATTTTCAATATTTTCGGTCATGTGGGAGACCATTAACAATCACCTAACTTATTTAGAAAAATAGCGTATTAGCTGATATTTTTATCTGATTTAAATTCAATTAAATCAGATTTTTTTTTAAAAGTCCTGGTCCAATTTTAAATATACACAAAGGATGATTAAATGTAAAAAACCCAACCCTTTCTAATAATTTTAAATATTAGAATTAAATGTTTAAGCTTTATTAAGAATAGTTTATCAAGAACTGGAAAACAAATACTTATTTAAGACAAAATAAAACATATTTAATCATATTTATAACGTTTTGTATACAATGTAATTACTAAGGTCAACTTCTGAATGATTAACTAGGAAGTCAAGGTTGCTAAAGTAAATTCAGCTGTCATCAGAGTGAGTTTTATTTCGAAATCTTGCACCGGATGTTGTGTCTGTGCGCGGTGACGCTGGTTTGGTGGATGCGGCTCTGCAGTGCGGACAAACAGGCTGGAGCCGGAGAACCTGACTGCCACAAAACCGCCTCTGTGACAGCCGGCCCGGGTCCACCTCACACGGGTTTATGCATCTGCTTCTGTCCCGGGTTTGACTCCCGGATCCCGGTCCTGCAGGAGGTGGACCAGCCCGCATCCTCCCATCTTCCTCCTCCTCTTCCTCCTCCACCTTATCTGCAGAGAACCGGAGGAGGACCAGGGCTGCAGGTTTTTAACGAGCGCTCCAGGACTATAAGGGGACATTATTTTTATTTCTTTGTTTGTTTCTGGTCCTGGTTCTGCAGCTGGTGTGTTCTGCACCTTGTTTGATATTTGGGGGACTGTTATTTAGAGGAGAGATAAATGGTGGTTTAGTCCTGCGGGAGACTGAGGCCCAAACCCCGGCCCCCATTCTAGAGGAACGGTGGGTTTTCTGGACCAGGGCGTTTTGTGCCGAAATAAAATCCCAGATGAAGATTCCCAAAAGGCGGAAAAGGAGCGGACGGTGCGCCAGGTAGGCCTGATCCGGACCAGGTCTGGGACTACATGCATCAGTGTGTGTGTGCGCGTGTGTGCGTGCGTGTGTGTGTGTGTGTGTGTGTGGTGTGTGTGTGTGTGTGTGGTGTGTGTGTGTGTGTGTGTGTGTGTGTGTGTGTGTGTGTGTGTGTGTGTGTGTGTGTGTGTGTGTGTGTGTGTGTGTGTGTGTGTGTGTGTGTGTGTGTGTGTGTGTGTGTTTGTCCGTGTGTTATATGTCTGTGTGTGTACGTGTGTTTGTCCCGCAGTGATGCGTTAACCCAAGTGCATTTATTCATCCTGCATCAAAAGGCATTATGGGCCTGATGATCACTTATTGGACCGGGACTGGTCCGGGTTGTGTCTCTGTGCTGATCTTTAATTCATAACTCGGGTCAGTCCGGGCCAGATTTATCGATCAGCAGGATGTGATGGTGCGCATGCGCAGAGTGTACCCATGACTGTGCACTGCAGAGGGGAAAGATTCAATATGGGTGATGCAGAGAGAGAGAACGAGAGGGAGGGAGGGGTAAACCTGGACCAGAGCGGAAGTGTGTCTCTGAAATATTCCATCTTTTAATTTACAAAAAGAAATCTACTTTTGTTAGCAGAGCTGGATAAAATGACATTATGTAACAAAGGTTAAATATGCAGATTTACAGTCTGATGTACGGAACAAGTTCAGTGCCAAAATTAGACACTAACATGTGATGACAGCAAATAATGGATGACATTCATACAAATATATAACTTAAAACCATCAAATATACATTTCTACAACATATGTTTCTCTGTTGATCTGACATCTCTTTATTTGTTGTCAACCTTGGTTGTTTTGAACATTGCAAGTTTCAATCACGGATGAGAGCAATTTATTATTGAGAAATCAAATATTGTTTGCAGCGGAGAACAAATCAGCATTATGTAACAATGGTTACATATGCAGAATTAAAATCTGAAGTACGGAACAACTTCAGTGCCAAAATTAGACAAACACTTACAACGCAGGATGACAGCGAATAACGGAAGATCTCTTAAAAAACACATTGACAAACTTAAAACGTTCAAATATTTAGACGTGAAACCCTAATTTCATTGCAGGTGTAATCATTTATGAGAGCAATTATTTTTGTTGAATCACTTACATTTATTACACATGATGACAGCGAATAATGAAGACATCTCATAATCAGCACAAAACTTAAAACCATCAAACAACACTAGGATAAGTCCCATATTTAGACTTAATTTAACTTGAAATGGTAATTTCCGACACACTTTTTATGCTGATCTGAGATTTTAATAATTGGTGTCACCCGTTTTTAACTAAACAAGTTGTAATTGTTAATTAGAGCAATTCATTTTATTACTACACAAAAGTTAGTACCATGCAGAACAAAACAAAAATGGTAGATTCACTGTTTGATATACGGGATGATTTTTTGTGCCAAAATCCAACTCTAACGCTGTGTTCACACCGGACGCGATGCGATGTTTGGGGGCGGCGCGATTACATGTAAAGTCAATGCAGAGATGCGGACAGACGCGAATTCGCTCCGACAACCGCTCAAGTTCAATTTTTTCAACCCGAGCGTCAAATTCCCGTGACGTGATCTCGCGGTAGCCAATCAGCGGTGAGGATCTCAGCCTGCCTTAACTGACGTGGAACCAGAAAACCAAAACATTAGCTGTTAGCAGTTAGCACTCAGAGCTCACAGCTCCTCATATCTGTTCAGAAACTGGACAAAAGTTAAACATGTACAAACCACAGACTGTCTGTGTCATGGCGAATACAGTCGCTGGTTTATTTATGTCTGTAGGCCGTTGTTATGAGTGTGGAGTGAGCATAGACAACGTTAGCTTAGCCTGGTCGATCCGATCTACATTAAAAAAACACGCATTTTAAAAGGTTTTTCGCCTGCCGTCTGTCTGCAGACTTGTCAAAGCATTAATTCATGGTTTTTACTAACCGGTATCAGTATGTTGTTACTTCGACATCATTTAGAAACGTGTATTACAATATAATTACGGTAAAATATGTTCATTTTTTTGTAGTTGTAGCCCCCGAGCCAGCACGTCTTCTTTGAATGATGCGAGTAAACACAGCTGACAGCCGCGGTGAATAGCGAATATTCGCATCGCGTCCGGTGTGAACGCAGCATAAGAACTTGATTTAATGGAAAACACTTTGATGACAGTAAATAACCCTTTACATCTTCAGATATATTAATATTCACAGATAACATCAACAAATTGGAAAATGCCTGAAAATTAAGACCTTACTTATTTAATGTAATTTAAAAAATAATTTGTATTCTTATGTATTCTTTATTTGTTGTTACCAGTTGTTATTTGAAAAACAATGTATGTATTGTTTTAATAGAGAATAGAATAGAAAAAGTTTCTCACTAATATCTTACTTTTTTTCTAAAATAATAAAACAATAATTTAGAAGTATTTGAACATCTACAATGTTTATACCATATTACCTTTTTACATTATTTTGGATTTTAATGTGTATCCTTGCTATTATTGTAGAGTGGTTTTATAATATGTTCAGACTCTGCTGGTGTTTCTGAGCAGCAGATAACACATATGAAACTGTTCTGTGGATATTATTCTCTCTATTATTCTATCTGTCACATTCACCAAAACACTTCGGTATGAAGCCTTGTGTTATGAAAGCTTCTCTCGCACAATGTAAACAGTTTTTTAAGCGAACAGGAAGACATCATACTAAGCAGCTTGTCCTGTTAGCGAATTATATCATGAAAAATCCTGAGAACATATCAGAGGCAGTTAAAAAGGGAATTATGAAGAAGCTCAGAAAGATATTTTGGCTGTATAAGGCTAGCGTGTTTCCAGTAAGCTAGTTAGCTCTCAAACTACTACTAGTACCTGCAGCTGGAGTAGTTTGAGAGCTAACTAGCTTACTGGAAACACGCTAGCCTTATACAGCCAAAATATCTTTCTGAGCTTCTTCATAATTCCCTCGTGCAGCTCTTTAGGGGTTAGAAATCCAAAGATCCTAAAACGTCAATGACAACCATAATCATAGGGATTCCCATTCGCACTGATGAATATAATCTGTATAACCTCTGTGTTTGGGAAAATACGGCACAATTTGTGAACACATTTTAAACAGTGAAACAGTTTGAAACGGCCACCAGGCTAGCAAACGACCTTAAAAATATATATATATATATTTACATTTATTTTGTAAATGTGTATATTGCTATAGCTGTCACAAAGTGTAGGAACCACTGTGCTAGAGGTCAGAGGTCACATCCCTCGGTCTCATCCTCTTATTCCAGCAGGCGAACTGAAGGTGTTTTGGTGAATGTGGCTTCACGTGGATAAAGGGTGCGGTTCGTGGATATTTGCTGTTGTTCTTTAACCCGGTGTATGAAGGCGTGTCCCTCCAAGCTCCTCCCCCTCTGTGATGTCACTGGTGGAGCCTTCCTCCTCTGTCTCCTCTCCTGGTAAAAACTGTGCCCTCTGTTTTGGCTTGTAGGCTAACACAGGAACAGGAAGGGTTTTGTCCCGCTCAGGATTTGTTGTAAGCCGTCAGGTTTTCCGGGAGCTCAGAACTATGGTGAGCTCTGACTGAATCATCAGATAAAAAAAAACTGGAATGATGCAAAACCGGCTTCTGGCAGATCACCCCTCCCCCTCCCCCCTCAGTAACAGACTAGTAGACTTGTAGGTGGTGATGAAGAAGAGAAGAAGAAGAGCAGACTGAGGTGTGACGGTAGAGAAAGTGTCTGTAAGGATGTTTCTGTCTGCTGCTGAGACGCTGCGGGACCTCAGAGTTTCTCTCGTTTGGACTTGTGTTACACGCCAGTTGTCAATATTATACTGAACAATACTTTACTGTAGGTTAGGAAACAATAGAGCAACAGGAGATGATACAAAACATCAGGATATTGTAATACAAGACTCCACAATTATTTGATATTATTTGCTGCTGTAGGGAAAGCCAGTTTCCTGTTTTACAGGCAGGTAGGTGTGAAAACATATTCATATAAGTACGGTAATTTATCTATTTTTGTTCTTTTAAGAGTTGAATTCCTGTTAGTCAATTCAAAATATACTATAAAAAACACTCTCTACCATAAAACATGATATGATTTAATGTTTTATACGAACCTGATAGCAGTAACATTACTGTAATATCATTTGTAAATCTATAGTACAACATACAATACTATATATATGATACTAATAGTGACCATATAGTATAATACAGGCACATTGTACTACTTTGTACATATCCTACTCACACACACCTCACTATAAGATAGGATACTTTAAATTTGATATCAACACTTCACTTTGTTATGCTATACTATCATGATATAATAAGTTAAATTCTATATCATACTTTGCTTTTGATTATACAAAACAATCAGATGTGTTGCTACAGTATGCTTTGTACTACTACTATTCATTACTATTAGAATTATAACTATAACTATACTTCACTATATAACAATACATCATACTACTATATTGAATGCCATTTATCAGTTCTGATCGGCTGGTTGTTAGACTTCCTTAGAAGAAACAAAAAACATGATACAGCACAAGAAAAAAGGTTGAGAAAAATAAGAAAAGCAACAACACCAGCAAAGACAACAACAAAAACAACAACTTGGTGTTGCAGTGTATTCAGAGGAGCTCTGAGGTCCCGCCCTCTGCAGTGATTGGCGGCTCAGCAGCGAGTTGAGGCCTGCAGCAGGTTTCACTCTCCAGAGTTACAGTGATCCCAGCTGCTGGCGGCTGCTCAGCTGATGATGAAGGTGCTTCTTCTGCTGCTGCTGCTGTGTTTACACATATCTGTGTGTAACGCAGCTGCAGAGAAGCGTCCTCCCCTCCTTCCCAGTCCGTCCAGTCCTCTGTCAGAGCTGGTCTGACTGGAAACACAGCGGACACTCTCCATTTTATCTGCAGGCCGCCTGAGCTCTGCATGCACTGATGACGGCCCGTGGCATTGCATGCAGAACAGCATGGTTTGGGGACTGACATGCATCACTTCGAACTTCAAATTTCCCCACGAATCCACTGAAAACTGACGACCATTCACGGCAGACATGTTGTTTCAGAGCCGAGTCAAACTGTTATCAGGTTAGGTTGCAGAGCACTGAAGTGACAGACAGGTGTTCACAGGCGGTCAGAGTGATGCTAAGTGAGCAACCTGCCTGCCACCACATCCTCCTCTACTAATCCATATTCAGTGTGAAGGAACAGACTTCATGGTTGTAGACTAATCAGCTCCTTCAGTGCAATAATTAACCCACTTTAACCACATCCAAGTCTTTGCAATGACCCCATCAAAGGCTCAAATCAGAAAACACGCTTTTATATATAACTATTTAAGAGCCCTTTTTGCAGAAGATATTCAAGTGTACAACCACCAATATGAGCTCAGATCTTATCATTCTTGACACATATATAAAAAGACCTGTGGGATTTTAATTCCCCTTTAGTCGTCTTCTCAGGCAGAGATCACCCTCCAGAAGCTTGGTGTCCAACTAGCTCCTTGAATTAAAAAAAAAAAGGATTTAATAACATGTGACCGGAGCTCATCCAGGCTACCAGTCTAACCATTTAATTTATGGAGCTTGTTTGGAGCACTACTTCACTTGGGCGTGAAGACTATACCTGCTATGCAACACTCAGGGACAATTTTACCCCAATTACCAAGTTCAATTGTATAGCTTATCTTCTTTTGACAACATAAACCCTTATACATTAAAAGCATTACCACTTTTTAGTCACCCCATTTCAAAATGAAATTGGCGCCCAAGTCATATAGAGGAAAGCCAAAACAATTCATTTTTGTCGGAATGTTAATACATCTTTCTGTAAATCGTTTCCTAAGAAATTATTACTGAGATGATTCGTAAATAACAGACCTGTCAAACAAAGCTTTACTGAACTTTAATTACTGAAGTTTGTAGTGTTTCGTTGTGTTTGAGTAAGATGTTCAGATCACTCTCATGTCTGTACATTACATATGAAGGTTAGCTTAGCTTAGCATAAGCATAAGGCTTACCCAAGCTTAGCATAAGGATAGCAACATATTCTCAAAGGTAACAAAATCCACTTACTAGTTATTCAAAGCTCCCTATTTGACATATTATAGCTTGTTGGTTTATCTGTAGTAACAATATTTGTGTAAAAGCAACATGTTTTTTTTAAATTAAACTAGTTGATTGCTAACAGCCAACTAATTTGTATACAAGGAAGGTGGATATTAGGACTTTTAGACAGTGTTGGAGGACTTTCTGAGATCTTCTTATCATAAAGTAGAGTTGTGTAACATACCTAACAGCTTAACACAGCTCTATATTAAAAGGTACTTAATTGAACCCAAACCATGATCTTCCTAAACCTAAGTTCTTCTGTATTAGATGAGCTGCGATTGAGAACATGTTACACATTTAATCTACAGACATGAGAAATTATATCCTTTTGGATATCATACTATCAGAGAGCAAGCGGAGATTCAAGTGTCCTAACATGTTGACCTTAAACTTAAGGTAATAAAATAATGTGAAGTCAATCCGAGTAGCTTTCCAGATCAGCCTCTTTCAGTTCAGCTGGATCATGTTGGACGAGCATGATGAATAGAATAGAATAGAATATATCTTTATTGTCATCGTACAAAGTACAACAACATTTCTTTGGCAAGTCTCACTGCAGTAAACGAGCTCATGATGCTGATGGTTGTTAGTTCAGTCGGTCGATTAGGAACCAGAGCGTTGTGATCTCTGATGATTCGGAGCAGCCGATTGGCCGTCGGGCCGTCCAGCAGTCAGCGCAGAGTGTCCGGCTGCTTCCTCTGCACACATGATATTTGCTCCAGTTACTGCAAATACCATCACACCCCCAACCCTAACCCCCCCCCCACCGGCCTGTAGCCTGATCCAGCTGAAGAATGGCTTCTAATGGCAGCCAGCCATTTCTAATGCCTGTTGTAACTCGGACTGCACTGGGGTTTAGAGACTGGGAGCCTCCCAGTACGTAGACGGTGTGTTTGAGGTACTGACTGTTTCTGCCTCCCTTCCCCTCTTTGTCTCCGCCCCTCCTCCCCCCAACAGATAAATGGCTCTTTTAAGCTGGGAGCTGCTCGAGTTCTGTCTGGCTGGCAGATGCAGTGCCTAGTCCCCGGCTTCCAGGACAACGCCAACATGAACGGGACGTCCGAGCAGGCCGACATCCTGCCGCCCAACTGCATGGTCAAAGACCGTTGGAAAGTGGTGAGTCAGGAACTCCTTCCCCCCTCCACTCTCAGCTCACGTTACTGATTCAAAAGCTTCTCAAATGATGCTCATTTTCAGGGTCATAATTGTATTTAGTGTCTATACTGTGACAAAAAGCCAACCTATAAGACTTAAACCTAAAAGGAAGGCAATCAATGTTGTTATGGAAGAAATGACCATGTAGATTCTTAACTAAAAAGTCCTAACTCTCATATTTCACAGCGTCCAGGAATGCACCAATATGAATTTCTATTAAGGAGTTTCCAAACTGGTCTCTGCTCAGAAATTAATGTGAGAACTTAAAGGGGCCATATTATGCTAATTCTCAGGTTCATATCAGTATGTAGTGTCTCTACTGGGACATGTCTCCATGCTTTAATGTTCAAAAAGCTCTTTATTGTTCTCATACTGCCTGTGCTGCAGCACCTCTTTTCACCCTCTGTCTGAAACCAGAGCCCAGTCTACTCTGATTGGTTAGCTGGCCGGCTCTGTTGTGATTGGTCAACCGCTTAGAGATGTCCCACCCCTTAGTCTATCACGTACAATGTGTTGGAGCGCTAACCAATAGAAGCACGAGAGTGAGAGAAACTCCCTCTGGAACGAACTTTGGGATTTTAACCTTTGCAGACCATTTACATGCACAAGAAAACGATACAACATAACACACTAAAGCAGGGGTGGGGAACCTTTTTCCTCTCAAGGGCCATTTCAATTTTTTCATGACCACCAAAACAGAAATATATGGACACAAGATGTGTGCAAATGTATTTAGTTTCCTATCCATGTGGACATGATTTTAGTAGGGGGGGACCTAACCTCCTCTAGGGGGGTCCGGGGGCATGTTCCCCCGGGAAGATTTGTTTTTAAATGTTGAAGTTAAAAGCATCAATCTGGTGCACTTTGAGAGCAACATTAAGAGATCTATGGATACATCTTTCAACATCCATATGAAACAGAACTGGAAGCAGATGTTCTTTTTCTTTATGGATATTTTACAAATCACTCCCCTTTCAAACTGTATTCTTGTTTATTAATAACAACTTTTTTTTACTGTCATATAGTATTTTATACCTGTTTACTTTATTATCTTATTTTTTTATAACTAAAATGATCATATAAAGATGTGCCTTTCCCTCACTGGTTGTAGAAAAAGCTTCTTATATTCGTTAGCATAGCTAGCTAACCAGATGCTAATAACAACAAAGTTATTGACTGTATGATCAGTATGACAGATCGCCACTGGGCTTACAACTAAAGACACAGCCACGCAAAAACTGCGGCATGTGTACAGCTCCTCCTTATGGGTACTGCACTTTCTGAAGTGCCGGAGCGACGTTCTGGTGCTCTCCGGCAGAACTGCACCCCTGTCAGACGAGACATATACCACGTGATGACACGTTAGGCTCGTGTTGTGTTCAAGGACCCTGACCTTGGCCAGGAAAAACAGGCACTCGCTTGTTTAATTATTTTGCGGTCTAGATATCTTTAATTTGTTTCTTTTTTGCGTGTGTTTATACATTTCCTCGAGGGCCGTACCAAATGGTCTCGCGGTCCGTATACGGCCCGGAGGCCGGAGGTTTCCCACCCCTGCACTAAAGGAACAGGAAAAACCAGGGCCTCTATAAGGAAAAATAAATCAAGAACAAATCCAACATAAAGCAGCTGAAATGAATACATCTGAAATGATAAAACACCAGCTGGCTTTTCTTTATGCAATATCTACTTGAAGCTCCATTACCACTTGAACATAAAACACATTTGACGCAAATCCATTATTATCAAACGTGAACTGAGATGGATAACCTGTGATGTTAAAGACGGACTAAAGACAAAGTGTGTCATTTAATAATTAAAGAGCTAATCCATATAAATATAATGTCTCTATATAATTCATATGAACAGCCACCGCTGTCGTCCTTTTGAATCTGAAATAAAAAGTTATATAATGCAGCTCCTGTCTCGGCCAATCACATCGCAGCGTGGAGCCTGCAGGGTGTTTGCACTTCACTGATCCATTTACTGTCTGAACCACTGAACCAACGCAGAGCTTCAACATGCATATACATATATTTATACATATTTGGGTGTGTGTGTGTGTGTGTGTGTGTGTGTGTGTGTGTGTGTGTGTGTGTGTGTGTGTGTGTGTGTGTGTGTGTGTGTGTGTGTGTGTGTGTGTGTGTGTGTGTGTGTGTGTGTGGTGTGTGTGTGTGTGTGTGTGTGTGTGTGTGTGTGTGTGTGTGTGTGTGTGTGTGTGTGTGTGTGTGTGTGTGTAACCGACAAGTAGAAGAGGGAATAAGGTGAGGAAAGGAGGTAAGAGAGGAAGAAAGACTAAAAAATTGAAGGAAAGGTGAAGTGAAACCTTTCTTTAAACCTCATCTACCTATCTGAAAATTCAAGCTTACACTCGAATTTTCACTTGAAAAGGGGATTAAGGTGGTAAAAATAATCACAAATCAAGGAGGTGAGAAGCATTTAAAGATGCAAAGGAAGTTTGGGAGAATAAAAATATTGAAAATTAGAACAAAGATTTAATTGAAATTCAAAGGTTTTATGGTCATATGGAAAATAGCTATGGTGTAGTTTTGGTATTGTAGGTTTCTGCTACAGTGCAACTCACACAATACTTTGGACTTTACAATAAATAATAATGCAACAAGGACATATGATTCAAGAGAATGTTGCAAGGAATGGATAAAAGACAGTCAAAGTCATGGGGGAAAAGAAAGATGGGAGACAGAGAAAGAAGTGGGGAGAAACATATCATAAAAAAGGGATGAAAACTATTTAACAAACAGCTGTTTTCACTGAAAAAGCCTCAATGTTTCTTGTAGTTTCCAGCTGAACCCAGAAGCTTGCATCTCAGTTTTTCTTACAATGGTTTTTAGTTTGATGGAAGTCTTGCTACCCCAGTTTTAAAGTTGTACCTCCTGCGTCCTGTCCCCAGCTGAAGAAGATCGGTGGAGGCGGGTTCGGGGAGATCTACGAGGCCTTGGACCTGCTGACGCGGGAGAACGTGGCGCTGAAGGTGGAGTCGGCCCAGCAGCCCAAACAGGTGCTGAAGATGGAGGTGGCGGTGCTGAAGAAGCTGCAGGGTGAGAGTCCAAAAACACACTTTTTAAAACATGGCTCAGGCCCGCTGTAACATTTCAATCTAAGCGATACATTTTGTTCTCGAAGTCGTGGAAGATTTACTCAGAGCTTTTACTCTCAGCTGACGTTGCTGATTCAAAAGCTTCTCATATGATGCTCATTTTTAGGGTCATAAATGTATTTAGTGTCTCTACCTATAAGACTTAAAGGTCCCCTATTATGCAAAATCCACTTTTTCTTGTCTTTTACACATCAACATGTGTAACCAATCAACAAGTTTCAGGAAGAAAGATTCTCTCTCTTTTTGTCCTGATCCATTTATATAAAAACCTGTCTGAAAATGAGCTGATCAGATTTTGGCCACTTTGTGATGTCATTACGATGTCTTGTCTTGTGTAACCATTAGCCAATCAGCAACCAAGGTAACCCCCATCCCCCCCCCCCCCCCCCTTATCACCTGAATCTCCTCCTAGAGCACCTTTGTGTTCTTTTTAACCAAATATCTCTCAGAGGGGTGTGGGGACGGGCTCCTTATTTTCATCTAAGGTAACAGACAGAAGAACCAGCACCTTACCGTGGTAGAGACAATACGACACCCTCTGTCCTTAGACCCTCACATCCTTGTACGATGTGAGGGTCTAAGGACAGAGGGTGTCGTATTGTCATACTGATATATTGTACAAACTGTAAAGTCCACTGAGACAAATGTAACATTTGTGATATTGGGCTATATAAATATACATTGATTGATTGATTGATTGATTGATTGAGAGGTTTGTGTGCCCTGATGAACCTGGGGGCTGTGTTGTCTGGAACCCTGTGTTCCTGGTAGGGTCTCCCATGGCAAATTGGTCTCAGGCAAGGGGCCAGACTAAGATTGGTTCAAAAGACCTCATGAAAGACGACACAGGAAGTGAGGATACCCGGCCCGGAGGCCGGCCGGGCCCAGCCCGAAAAAGGCAACGTGGGCAACACCTCCGCTTCTCCGTCCCGCGGGCCCACCACCTACGGGAAACAGTGATGGGGTCGGGTGCGCTGCCAGAAGGGTGGCAGTGAAAGCGGAGGGTCTCGACGGACCAGACCCGGGCGACAGAAGCTGGCTTTGGGGACGTGGAACGTCACCTCTCTGGGGGGGAAGGAGCCGGAGCTTGTGCGGGAGGTGGAGCGTTACCAGTTGGATCTGGTTGGGCTCACCTCTACGCACAGCGTCGGCTCTGGAACCTTACTTCTGCATAGGGGTTGGACTCTATTCTTCTCCGGAGTTGCTCAAGGAGTGAGGTGCCGGGCGGGTGTGGGGATACTCACAAATCCCCGGTTGGGTGCTTCGTTGTTGGAGTTTACCCCAGTGGAGGAGAGGGTCGCCTCCCTACGCCTGCGGGTTATTGGGGGGAAAACTCTGACTGTTGTGTATGCTTATGCACCCAACAGAAATTCAGAGTATACAGCCTTCTTGGAGACCCTGGAAAGAGTCCTGTATGGGGCTCCTGAAGGGAACTCTTTAATCTTGCTGGGAGACTTCAACGCACATGTGGGCAATGATGGAGACACTTGGACGGGCGTGATTGGGAGGAACGGCCCCCCTGATCTGAACCGGAGTGGTGGTTTGTTACTGGACTTCTGTGCTAGTCATGGATTGGCCATAACAAATACCATGTTCGAACATAAGGATGCTCATAAGTGTACGTGGTACCAGAGCACCCTAGGCAGAAGGTCCATGATCGATTTCGTTATCGTATCATCGGACCTGAGGCCGTATGTTTTGGACACTCGGGTAAAGAGAGGGGCGGAGTTGTCAACTGATCACCATCTGGTGGGGAGTTGGGTCGAGTGGCGGGGGAAGCCTCTGGATAGACCTGGTAAGCCCAAACGTGTAGTTCGGGTGAACTGGGAACGTCTGGAGGAGGCCCAAGTTCAGGAGGCCTTCAACTCACACCTCCGGCGGAGCTTTTCGGGCATTCCTGTGGAGGTTGGGGACATTGAACCAGAGTGGTCAGTGTTCAAAGCCTCTATTGCCGAAGCCGCGGCGGAGAGCTGTGGTCTCAAGGTCGTAGGTGCCTCAAGGGGCGGTAACCCTCGAACCTCCTGGTGGACACCGGTGGTCAGGGAAGCCGTCCGACTGAAGAAGGAGGCCTTCAGGGATTTGTTATCCCGGGGGACTCCCGAGGCAGTTGCAAGGTACCGACAGGCCCGAAGGGCAGCAGCCTCATCCGTGGCCGAGGCAAAGCAGCGGGTGTGGGAGAAGTTCGGAGAAGACAAGGAGAAGGACTTTCGGGCGGCACCAAAGTTGTTCTGGAAAACTGTCCGACACCTCAGGAGGGGGAAGCAGGGAACCATCCAAGCTGTGTACAGTAAGGATGGGACGTTGTTGACCTCAACTGATGGAGTGTTAGGGCGTTGGAAGGAACACTTTGAGGAACTCCTGAACCCGACAACTCCGCCCTCTATGTTAGAGGCAGAGCTGGAGTATGACGGGGGATCAACACCAATCTCCCGGGGGGAGGTCACTGAGGTCGTCAAACAACTCCAAAGTGGCAAAGCCCCGGGGGTGGATGAGATCCGCCCAGAAATGCTGAAGGCTCTGGGTGTTGAGGGACTGTCATGGTTGACACGTCTCATCAACGTTGCGTGGAAGTCGGAAACAGTACAGAAGGAGTGGCAGACCGGGGTGGTGGTTCCCCTTTTCAAAAAGGGGGATCAGAGGGTGTGTGCCAATTACAGAGGCATCACACTACTCAGCCTCCCCGGGAAAGTTTACTCTAAGGTACTCGAAAGGAGGGTCAGGCCGATTGTCGAACCTCAGATTGAGGAGGAACAATGTGGATTCCGTCCTGGTCGTGGAACGACGGATCAGCTTTTTACTCTCGGAAGGATCCTGGAGGGGGCCTGGGAGTACGCTTATCCGGTCTACATGTGTTTTGTAGACTTGGAGAAGGCGTATGACCGAGTTCCCAGGGAGTTACTGTGGGAGGTGCTGCGGGAGTATGGGGTGAGGGGGTCTCTACTCAGGGCCATCCAATCTCTGTACTCCCAAAGCGAGAGCTGTGTCCGGGTCCTCGGCAGTAAGTCGGACCCATTTCCGGTGAGGATTGGCCTCCGCCAGGGCTGCGCTTTGTCACCAATCCTGTTTGTAATATACATGGATCGGATTTCGAGGCGTAGTCATGGGGGAGGGGGTCTGCAGTTCGGTGGACTAAGGATTGCACCACTGCTTTTTGCAGATGATGTGGTTCTAATGGCTTCATCGGTCTGCGACCTTCAGCGCTCACTGGATCGGTTCGCAACCGAGTGTGAAGCGGCTGGGATGAGGATCAGCACCTCCAAATCTGAGGCCATGGTTCTCAGCAGGAAACCGATGGACTGTCCACTCCAAGTAGGGAATGAGTCCTTACCCCAAGTGAAGGAGTTCAAGTATCTCGGGGTCTTGTTCTCGAGTGAGGGAACAATGGAGCGTGAGATGGGCCGGAGAATCGGAGCAGCGGGAGCGGTACTGCAGTCACTTTACCGCACCGTTGTGACGAAAAGGGAGCTGAGCCAGAAGGCAAAGCTCTCTGTCTACCGGGCCATTTTCGTTCCTACCCTCACCTATGGTCATGAAGGATGGGTCATGACCGAAAGAACCAGATCGCGGATACAAGCGGCCGAGATGGGTTTTCTCCGCAGGGTGGCTGGTGTCTCCCTTAGGGATAAGGTGAGAAGTTCGGTCATCCGGGAGGGACTCGGAGTTGAGCCGCTCCTCCTTCGCGTCGAAAGTAGCCAGTTGACGTGGTTCGGGCGCCTAGTTAGGATGCCACCTGGGCGCCTCCCTAGGGAGGTGTTCCAGGCACGTCCAGCTGGGAAGAGACCAAGGGGTAGACCTAGGACCAGGTGGAGGGATTATATCTCTTCGCTGGCCTGGGAGCGCCTTGGGATCCCCCAGTCAGAGCTGGTTGATGTCGCCAGGGAAAAGAAAGTTTGGGGCTCTCTGCTGGAACTGCTACCCCCGCGACCCGACCACGGATAAGCGGGAGAAGATGGATGGATGGATGGTAACAGACAGAGAATCAGCTCTTTGGAAACAGGGCTGAAACAGAGGGGGTTATGGGATGCTGTAATGATCTGTTTGGTGTTTGGAGCCAAACACTTCAGAGACATGTTCTGTATATATCTGAGACCTATTATATATGTTGTGTATATCGTTTTAATGTTTTGCAGTGTGTCCGGCGTTGTGTTGAATCATTATATGTTCTTTACACTTCACCAAATGTTGCATAATACTTAACAGTGTGCCAGGTGTTGCTTTGCATTTCAATGTTTTACGGGGATTCTTTTTCATTTTTCCTTTCCAGGTAAAAACCACGTCTGTAAGTTTATTGGCTGCGGGAGAAACGACAAATTCAACTACGTGGTGATGCAGCTTCAGGTGAGTCAGAGTGCTCGAACACTGAGGGGCTTTTATTGTGAAGGAAAGATCCAGACTCAACAGAGACAGATTATATTGTTAACATTCAACAACCTTTCCTCTGGTGCGGTTATCATTATAAACGTACGTTAAAAGAATCATGGGAATTGTAGTTTTTAAGCATCAATGAACTAACATACGGACCTCTGCATCACCCTCAGTTTTTCCGTTTTTAAGAAAAGCCTCAAACCCACCTTTCTTTCCGCACTGCGTTTTACTGTCTGGCCTTTACTTTATTGTTTTTATTCTAACCTTCTATGCTCTTAGCTTTTTTCTATTTTACTCAATATGTTCCTTAGATCACTTTTAATTTGATTGTATTTCCCCCTCATGGCATTGTGAAGCACCTCAAGATGACGTTGTTTAAATAAAATGTATTATTATTATTAAGGGACAGTTTCATCCCTCAGGCCATGAGACTGTTAAACACCTGAACGTTTGAAAGAACATTCATCTGGCTGCAACTTATATATATCAATATTCCAATGACTTGTATATAGACTACTCTGCACTATTTCTACTATATTCTATTTTATTTTATTTACTTGCACTATTTTATCTGTTTTATTGTGTTGCACTGTTGGAGGAGCCTGTGATCTCAGATGTTCGTTGTTATAGATAGATAGATAGATAGATAGATAGATAGTTAGATAGATGGATGGATAGATGGATGGATAGATAGATGGATAGATAGATAGATAGATAGATAGATAGATAGATGGATGGATGGATGGATAGATAGATAGATGGATAGATGGATAGATGGATAGATAGATGGATAGATAGATAGATAGATGGATGGATGGATGGATAGATAGATAGATAGATGGATAGATAAATTGATAGATGGATAGATAGATAGATGGATAGATAGATAGATAGATAGATGGATAGATAGATTGATAGATGGATAGATAGATAGATGGATAGATAGATAGATGGATGGATGGATAGATAGATAGATGGATAGATGGGTACAAGAGAAATTAGACACAAGAAATAAACAGTCCAAAATATTTCAGAAATATAAATAAAACAGCATTAAAAATAAATAAAGTTAAAGAATATAAAAATATGTGGAAAATATACGTAGCTATGCCGAAATGACAATAAAAGCCTTGAATCTATATTAACTGTGTTTTAACTTCTGAGATTTCTTCTAAAACACTTGAGGTGCATTTACAGTGATGCCGGCTTGTTTACTCCCCCTGTAGTTTCTCTTTCTGTTGTTTTCCCAGACTGTTGCTAAGTGATAATCCTGGTGTTGTTGCAGGGGCGTAACCTTGCCGATCTGCGGAGGAGTCAGCCCAGAGGCACCTTCACCATGAGCACCACCCTGCGGCTTGGGAAGCAGATCCTGGAGTCCATCGAGGCCATCCACTCTGTGGGCTTCCTGCACCGAGACATCAAACCGGTACGAGGAGAACACTTTGTTGTTGATGATAATAATAATATTAATAATCTGAGATGACAAAAGTTCACACATGCTTTACTCAAGTAGAAGTACAGGTATTTGTGTTAAAATGTAAGAAGTAGAAAGTACAGGTATTTGTGTTAAACATGTAAGAAGTCAAAGTAAAAAGTCGTCAGAAAAATAAGTAGTGGAGTAAAGTACTGATACCAGAAAAATGTACTTAAGTGCAGTAACGAAGTATTTGTACTCCAGTACTTCCCCCTTCTGATAATAATAAAGCTTTATTTATACAGCACTTTTCACATGCAGCTCAAAGTGCTTTACAAAGTGACACATCACAAGTTAAAGATAAAGCATCTCGATCCAAGCAGTGGAAGTGTGCTATAGAAATAAAATGGATTGGATTGGATTGGCTGCTTCACAAAAGAAATATAAAATATATTGATCAACTAGATAAAGATTTAATTGTGTTTCAGAAACAGATTTGAAGAAGGGATATTTTGTTATGAATCATTGGTATTTTAAAGCCTTCTGATAGTTATTATTCCTTTTGTCAAATTAATCATCACAGAATAAAAAAAAACGATAAACACTTTGCAAAAAACATCAATAAATTAAGTTATGATGATGTCTTTATTTATGTAATCTACTGCTGTGTTTGAAGGTTATTATTGATCGCATCATGTCCTTATTGGTAATATTAATACTTTCGCCTTAGATATAAATAAATAAATAAAAACTAGATCGGCAACTAGAGAGACTTTTTATTTATTGATAATTTGATAAATCTTACAAAGTATTTAGTTGAATTTGTTTGTGCGGTGGATGGAAGATGAAGCCTGAGTCCATATTAAAGCTCAGAAGCTTAAAGTAGAATCCTCCGATAGCGCTGAAGACAGGATGTTCGTGCTGAACACATTTACATATTAATGAGCCGAGCTGGAACAAAAGCTACAGGACAAACTGAGAGGAGTGCGAGGAAGAGGAAGAGGAAGAGGAAGGTCGGGGTGAGGAAGGAAAGGCAGCTCAGCTTCATCGTTATTATCATCGTGCTAATTGATGTGACTCAGTCTGGATCAGGACTCAGTCGGTCTGGATCAGGACTCGGTCGGTCTGGATCAGGACTCGGTCGGACTCGGTCGGACTCGGTCTGACTCGGTCGGTCTGGATCAGGACTCGGTCGGACTCGGTCGGTCTGGATCAGGACTCAGTCGGTCTGGATCAGGACTCAGTCAGTCTGGATCAGGACTCGGTCGGACTCGGTCGGTCTGGATCAGGACTCAGTCGGTCTGGATCAGGACTCAGTCGGTCTGGATCAGGACTCAGTCGGTCTGGATCAGGACTCGGTCGGACTCGGTCGGTCTGGATCAGGACTCGGTCGGTCTGGATCAGGACTCAGTCAGTCTGGATCAGGACTCGGTCGGTCTGGATCAGGACTCAGTCAGTCTGGATCAGGACTCGGTCGGTCTGGATCAGGACTCGGTCGTTCTGGATCAGGACTCAGTCAGTCTGGTTTCCTATAATTAAACTTTATTGATACACCTCGTCACATTTGACACATTGGGATTCACTTCACAGTCTCTCAGTATTCTTCGTCTCAGTGTCTCATTGTTTAATATATGTCAGAGAGTTTAATTTCACCACTTTATTCAAGTTTATTGTTACAGGTTTCTCATCTGACTTGCCGTCTCTGTAGAGTTTTTTAGTTTAAAGTGGTGGGAAAGTCCTTTCTATCAAAGTCTGAACAAAACGTGAAAAATAAGAACTTATTGAGCTGATGACTTTCTGTTTTTCTTCCTACAGTCGAACTTTGCGATGGGCCGGCTTCCCTCCACGTACAGGAAGTGCTACATGCTGGACTTCGGTCTGGCGCGGCAATACACAAACACCACCGGAGAGGTCCGGCCGGTAAGAAACTTTATTGACAACTTCTGCGTCAACAGTAGCCCCAGAGAGGCTGAAAGTAAAATATCGTTTGCAATAGATTTTTGTATGAGGTTTTGATCTCCTGTTGTTGCTGTATGGACGACTCGCTCTGCCACAAAAATATAATTAGTCATAATAAGCTTATCTTTTGGTGTTTAAAAATTATGGAATAGCTTCTTATAATAATGGCTTTGTATTTCTTAATATTGACATCAGCGTGTCTGAAATATGAGGTTTTTGTAGTTCAAAGTCATCTGATCATTCTGACATTTTAGATGTGAAATACAAAAACATTTGACCTTCTGGAATAAAAGACAGGATCATAAAAATAGGCACTTAAATAAATATGAGACGTCAAATATGAATTGATGATGTATTTGTTCACTTTCATGAGATAAAAGGCAATCTTTATATCAAATACTCAATATGTTTTTAATGAATGACAATGTGAATCAAATATTGAGAAATAAAATATAAGTTTAACGTTCACATTAATTCATAATCTAAGTCCTGACTTTCAAATCAAATTACAAACAAGAAATACAAAATATCCTTATTATTATTATTAAACTTGAGTTTTTCCAATCAGAAAACAAACTCTTTTCTCTTTATTATTCTGTACTAACTCTGTATTTGTTTCTCCTCCTGATTTGTTTTATGGTTGAGTTTCCTTTAAGCCGTTAAAAATGAATTATGAAAAGCTAAACAAATCAGACAGACAGGGTGTGTTCTCTGCATTGCAGTACACGAGTTCAATAGATAACTGTTGTGTGTGTGTGTTGTGTGTGTGTGTGTGTGTGTGTGTGTTGTGTGTGTTGTGTGTGTGTGTGTGTGTGTGTGTGTGTGTGTGTGTGTGTGTGTGTGTGTGTGTGTGTGTGTGTGTGTGTGTGTGTGTGTGTGTGTGTGTGTGTGTGTGTGTGTGTGTGTGTGTGTGTGTGATCAATAAGGAGTCATTAGATGTTATTGTTTAAGCGGATTATAAGACAGCAGTTTCCTCCTGTTGCATGATGGGATTTCTTTCTACAATTGAATGGAAAAGGATTTTATTTTGAAAAGGCAGCTCCTGATGAGGTCTGCTGGTCTTTGTATTTTCACTGGGAGCTTCTCCCTCTTCTTCTTCTTCTCTCATTCATTGATGACGTCTCTGTCAGACTGAGCTCTGAGATATTTTTAGATCAGAGAGTACGTGAGCCATTTACTGTCAGCCTCCTCCTCTTCCTCTTCCTCCTCTTCCTCCTCCTCCCCCTCCTCCTCCTTTCTGTCTCTCTTGTTTCCTCTTCTCTTTATATGTCTATTGATCTCCTCCTCACTGTCTCTGTAGTTTGCTCTCATCTTTATCTTCCTCCCTCCGTTCTTCCTCTTCCTGTCTCTTCTCCTCCCTTCTTTTTTCCTCCTCACACCTTATAACGTGTTTCCCCCTCTTCATCCTCCTCCTCCTCTCACTTTCTCTCTTTTCCCTCTCCTCCTGCAGTGTTGTGTTGCAGCAGTGAGATGAATATTTGATGCTCCTGAATGCGTCAGTAAGCGAGAGACCTCTCTCTCTCGTCTCTCGCTCTCTCGTGTCTCTCTCGTGTCTCTCTCGCGTCTCTCTCTCTCTCGCTCGCTCTCTCTCTCTCCTCTCTCATCTCTCCTCGTTCTCTCTCTCTCATCTCTCTCCCCTTCGCGCTCTCTCTCTCTCTCTCTCCTCTCTCTCTCTCTCTCTCTCTCTCGTCTCAGTCTCGACGGCTCTCTCTCTCTCTCTCTCTCTCTCTCTCCTCCTCTTCTGTCTCTCTCTCTCTCTCTCTCTCTCTCTCTCTCTCTCTTTCTCTCTCTCTCTCTCCAGCTGAGTCAGCTTCTGTCCAATCTTCTGAGAGAATCACCTCTCCCTTTCACCCCCTCTGTTTCTCGGATGTACCCCTCTCCCACTCTTCATCTACATACTGCCTTTCCTCTCCTCTATTTCTCTCTCTCATTCCTCCATCATCTCACACACACACACACACACACACACACGCATGCATAGTGACATCATCGCTGATCAAACAGGAAGTCCTTCCAGCTGATTCAGGTCACATGACCAGGTTAGCAGTAGTCACATATCAGTGATATGTGCAGACTAGAAACCAACGAGCTGACCTTAGAGCAGTCGACCTCCGATTGTAAGGTCGTTGCTTCGATCCTCTGCGGTCGACATGTGTCCTTGGGAAGGAAACGTAATACTTTAATGCTCCTAATGGTGCGGAAATGTGTGTGGATGTAAGGCTCAGTAAGTGGGTGTATATGTCAAAGCTCTGTGATGGTTGAAAGACTGAAAAGTGCTAAATAAGTGCAGTCCATTTACATGTAAGTCCGTCTTTTTCAAACCTGTCTGACTTTGTGTCTGTGGCTTTCAGCTTCAAGGCCATTATATCCTTCGGAAGAAGCATCAATAGTCAGCACATTTATAATATGGATTACTTTGCATGCTAGCACCAACAATATTGTACAGTGCACCATTGATCTACATCTGGTGCTGTAGTGAGTGTTTGTGGCAGCAGGACGGTGTGTGTATGGAGGTATGTGTCTCATTGAGTCCAAATAAACTAGTGTGTGTGTGTGTGTGTGTGTGTGTGTGTGTGTGTGTGTGTGTGTGTGTGTGTGTGTGTGTGTGTGTGTGTGTGTGTGTGTGTGTGTGTGTGTGTGTGTGTGTGTGTGTGTGTGTGTGTGTGTGTGTGTGTGTGTGTGTGTGTGTTTATGGTTATAAAGGAACATGTCATCCAGTTCATTGGTGAGATTAAATCGTTTTTAGACAACAATGGAGCTAAAGGGCACAGAGGAAGAAGATACATCCAGCTCAGACACACACACACACACACACACACACACACACACCATGTATACATCACTTCAGGGGACATTACATTGACTTACATGCATTTCCTGGAGACTTATCCTAACCCTAACCATAACCAACACATGCATAACCCTAACCATAACCCTAACCCTTACTCCATACAGTAGGACACCTTATCAACGTAGATAAATCAGATTGATGGTGGAAACGTTTCAGGTTCAGTTTCTTGCTCTGTTAGTGTGGTCTATCGTGTGTGTGTGTGTGTGTGTGTGTGTGTGTGTGTGTGTGTGTGTGTGTGTGTGTGTGTGTGTGTGTGTGTGTGTGTGTGTGTGTGTGTGTGTGTGTGTGTGTGTGTGTGTGTGTGTGTGTGTGTGTGTGTGTGTGTGTGTGTGTGTGTGTGTGTGTGTGTGTGTGTGTGTGTGTGTGTGTGTGTGTGTGTGTGTGTGTGTGTGTGTCTCTCCGTGTAGCTGCAGATGAATAAATCATGCGGCGGATGGACTGAGTAACTCTGCTGCTTCTCTCTCTGATGGACTGAAACTCTTCTTCTCCAGATAACGTTTAGCTCTGAGATTAATTTCAGATTAGGTATTATAGATTAAAGCCATGATTTTCTCTCTGCAAGCCTTTGTAGAGTTGTTATCACAGTTCTCAGCCTCCAACAAGATATATTTAACCTTTCAACTCCTCCTTATATCTCTGAAACACTCTCTCTCAAAGGACTGTCTCTTTCAAAATGGATGTATTGATCTCCTCCTGTCCTCTTCTTGCCTCTCATGTTTCCTCTCCCCTTCGTCCACGTCTCCTTCTCACTTTCTTTTTTTTCTTTACTCTATTGATTCCTCTGAGAATATCCTCTTTTTTTCTGCAGATGAAGTTTATGAATCTATAAAACAAACTACGCCTGGAGATAACTTTCAGATCCATGAGAACAAGTTAAAATCCCAATTTAAGTTTTCCTGACAATCTTTCATTAATTTAAACCATTTCCTAAAATCTCCAAACCTAACCCTCACTAGAGAGAAGAGCTGTATTTTTAACACCGATATATTGATCCTCTTCTCCTACTTCCTCTTTTCTCCTCATGTTTCTATTTTGTTTGACTCAAACTCTGCTTTTCTTCTTCAGTTGGAGTTCTTATTTCCACACTCACCCTATTTCTTTTCACAACACTATTTAAAATCATCAGATACGAAAAACTAGAAGAATATTTGTTAATAAAACAACATTAAGATAAGTTAATTAACTAAATCATTTCCCCATTTGGGATCAATAAAGTACCTATCTGTCTATCTCATACAATAAAACGATAAGTAATTGAAATAAAAGTGATTATTTTAGTCATCAACTTAGTATTGGTACACAATTAGCTCAAACAATGCAAAAGTAAATAAAGTGTTGACCAACTGGTAATAAGAAGATAGGGATAGAAACAGATTATATTATCTATCCAACGCACATCTAACATTTAAATAACAAAATAAAATCTGCTGATGATTAAATAAAATAGGGATGTTAACAATAGTTGGTCAAATTTAGGACAACCATTAATTTTAAATAACAACAAAACAATAAGAATTTGCCTTTAAACAAAATCCTCTGAAGTCTTAAATCGTGTACTTTCACCCCTATGTTATATAATATATTGTTTACTTTTTTATTTGTATTTCCTTTAAAAAATGTGATTTTATAAAAGTGATAAAAGCACTTCCCCACGTTTTGCTTTGACAGATGTTCAGTTTGTCACCTCAGTGATTTATGTGTGGTGTTTTATTTTCATTTCTTTTTACGTTTCAGTGTTGTTTTTGTTTTTCTTACAGTTTCCTTTGGACTTATGATTTTGACGTGCATGCCTCCCGTTTCTCCATCATCTCCATGGTTACCCAGGGATGTGAGTGGTTTCTATAGCGACAGAGGGGTCACAGCCCCATCACCAGCCGACGGTCGCAATATAATTGCAGAAAAATAAAACACCTGTTTGTCACCGTCAGAGATTTAAGTGCTGCTAATATTAGAGGAAACCTTTATCATGTATTACTCACAGTTTCACGGGGAGCAGAGTGGACCCAAATGCAGGAAACAGGACATTTTAAACGGGCGCTATTCTGCTCATTTTCAGGTTAATACTTGTATTTTCCACCTCTACATGTTTACATACTTTAATGTTCAAAAAGATCCGGAAGTAAACAAAGGAGTCCGATGGAGCCATATCAGGCAGGGCGGGAGTGTGTGGGAGAGAAACTCCTTTCTGGAAGGAACACATGGATTTTTTACTGAAATACATTTATTTCACACTTTGTTCAGAAGAGGCCAAATAAAACAGAACTTCCCAATACACATCAAGAAGAGCAGGGACAGGAAGTCAAAACAGAGGTGGCACGGGCCGTTTCTCAATGTCGAGTAAAGCTGCTGCAGAGCCACTATTTCAAGAATACTACGTCATCGAGTGGCGCAGAAGGACTGTTTAGATGCCCAGCATTAACAGGTTAACAGGTGTGCGTCATAAATGGAGCACGATTTCCGCCAAAGATTTGGAAATTGGTCCGTGCGCAAAGCATTGTGGGGATTTGAAGACCGCAGAGTCTACACATGTGCAGCCTCGAAATTTCCCGCTACGAAGTACGCCGGGCTCGGTAGAATTCCAAGTATGCTGGACATTGGAACAGTCCTTCGGCGGCACTCGATGACGTAGTATGCTTGAAATAGTGGCTCTGGAGCATCCTTCCTCGACATTGAGAAACACCCAAAGACACCACACATGCAGCCCAGAGGAGAAGGAGGGAGTCACTGCAGCCTTCCTCGGGTCCTCGAGGCCCTGATTGGGGATTGGCAGCACCTGAGGGAGAGGCTGCACCTGGAGACAATCAGGGGGAGAGAGAGACACACACACACACACACACACACACACACACACACACACACACACACACACACACACACACACACACAAAAGCTCGTAACACACAGTGACAGGGTTTTTCCAAATAAAATAGGAAACATTTCGTTTTGTATATATAATTATATTTTGTACAGGATGAGTGAGGGGTAAAATGACATTACATTCAAGATTCAAACATGAAACCAAGAAATTAGTAAGCACCAACAATTCCTTAAATAGAATAGTACCAATTAATGGGAAACATTTGAAAGGATATATGAAGAAAAATATAAATACATAAGCAACTGAGTTAATAAAATGGTTGCCATTAAATTATATTTCATCCCCACTCATTAATAGACACACATTTTATCTCCACACAACAACAGGAAGGTTTGTCGTTATTAGATTCTATATTCATGTGTAAATCTGTTGCTAGAAATAAATATGTAGCACCAATTAAAACCATTTTCTTTCACAAGCTGTAATTTAACCACGAGAAACAATGAGAGAAGAAGAAGACCGAGCGAGAACAAGGATGAAAACACCATTTAAAACTTCATCTTTGCAAATGTGTCATGTGGAGGAAAATGTGTTCTACCTCTAGAACGAACTTAATGAGTGAAGGTGACAGCACTGAAAATTCAATGGACTGCTTTAAATAAATCCATTAGTCATCGAAGGGAAAGAAGCAGTGTCATAACTTCATGACTCACTGTTAAAGGGAACATTTGGCACGTACAGTACATCTGTATATCCGTCTCGAGTCATGACGTGTCTCCAGTCCTCAAAGGGACATGTGATCACTTCCTGTTCCCCACACAGTTATGATTAATATCACCATGGAAACATCTTGATTGACCCCTGTGTTATTTGGAGGCTGTGTAGATGCAGCGTGACCCTCTGCTGACGTGTTATTATTTGGATGTTTTGGTTATAATTTGCTTTGTTTACGCCTGAAACATGAATCCAACAGATTCAGGCAGCACATTCAGGGAAATCATATCTGGATATAAGTTTAATTATTGGAGTTGTTTTCATAATTACAGCATAGTTGAAATGATATAACTGAAGAAGCAACCCGCTCACAGAGGCGGTTAGACGTGGTTTCCACTCCAGTTCAATTTTGGCACACATAATACAGCTTTGGGTAATACAGTAATGGGTTATAGACCACTTATTACCAAGACAGAGACATCAGCTTCATTTAGTATTTTGGGCCATTTTGTGTGACACATTAAAGTGGAGTGGCACCCCACGCCCAACTTGTACTGCTCAGGTTTTGGAGTGCAAGCTGTATGCAAGAAATACCAGATCAATGCATTACAATTCTACGAATATTACACATTTGAACCACAGACATGAGGCGATAGCCAGAGAAGAAGAAAACATTTCAATGTCTTTACCATTTGTCACTGTAGTTCTGTTTGTTCTGTATCCAGATGTTTTCGGTCAACAGGATTTACATTAAGCCAAACTTCCTTGTTAGATATGTGTTTATCTAACGGAGCAGCAGGGTGTGATTTAGAAGTAAAGGGCTCAGTAATGATTTATTGTTGATGTGAATAATCTGTAAATGTTCTTCGTCTTGTGTTCAGCCGAGGACTGTGGCGGGTTTCAGAGGGACGGTTCGCTACGCTTCGGTCAACGCTCATAAAAACAAAGTCAGTCTGTTTGTTTGTTGTCTTTCAAATAATTACGTAAATAATGCATTTAATTCAAATGAATGATGGGAATACCCTACCGTAGCCCACATAGGTTATATCTGTGTAACACCAGCAGTGATGAATTTACTACATTTTATTATTTACTGATACAACTGACATAAACAATCATTTTGTTTTTCTTCCGTTTCCTCCAGGAAATGGGTCGCCATGACGACCTGTGGTCATTATTTTACATGTTGGTGGAGTTCGCCGTTGGACAGTTGCCATGGCGAAAAATCAAAGATAAGGTAAACAAATAAGTATTTATACTCCTGTAAACACTTCTAATATCAATAACAACAACAACAGTATAACAAGAATATTTTCACACAGTAAATATCAACCTGTTAGAACATAATACTATTTCAAAAACTGTAGTATAGTAAAGTATTTACATTGATGTTAGATAGATTACAAAATTAACCCTTTTGCCCTCTAGAGATATTCACTTAACGTCTCTCTCTTAAAATTGTTATCATTAAAACCCTTTAAATCGACAACTTTCAACATGTAACTACTATTTTGCACCAGATTGAGTCATGTTTGCCATATGTTATTTTCTGGTTACCACAAGGAGCCTCGCTGTGTAATCAAAACAATGATGTTGCTAATCTCTGACGTTTAAAAAGACAACAACATTATGTGAGAAAAACTGGCATTTAAAGGGTTACAATGATGGAGCTTTTAGTTT